AATGTTGTAATGTTGCTTTTGTAACTACCAGTTTACTATTGGAATTTAAGCATGCTGTGCCACTATACTACTTAAGGATGGTTACCAGTCTGACTCCTACAGAGGAAAGGCTCATTTTTAGGTAATCACTTGGATAAATTACAAACAAAGACTCAACCAAGCAGCTGCAGCTGACCATGTCCAATCAAAGAATGACTAGAGAGAAGGAGGTGTGGAACCTTCATCCAGTCAGAGCTGTTCTAGTCAAGTTGTGAGGCCAGGTTGAATATTAAACAACGAATCTAGTACCATGGCAATAAGAACGTGATTGAGCCTTCTGACTTAATCGGCTCTCCTTAAGGATGTTACTTCTTAGGGAAGTACTCAGTAGATGAATACATTTACAAAGAAAATATAAGTTGAATGACACAATAAATATACACTAAGAACTTACATATAATATGCGTATTTTTGCTTTACTGAATCGTAACAATAAAAAATAAAATTTCAAAATTATGAATATAATAAATGGCCATATTCTTGCAGAAAACGTATGAGCTTAGCTAGTTATGTTTAATGACAAAGAAACAAATTTTTTTATGAATTCAAAAGATTTTTCCAGTTATTCGGGTAATTAAAATGTTATAAATCCTTAGATTTACCCTGTGGAAAAACTATAGCATTAATTCTTCAGAAGCAATATATTTAACAAACTAAAAGAACATTTTAAAATTTACATGAAAAGTAAATTTATAATATCAGTGGTCGAAATAAAATTGAAGAAATAATTCTAGTTCTTAAAGATCAGATTCACTGTTAAGCCTTCAGGTAGTCTTCCTACTATCTGGTATTATGATATATAAAATTATAATACATAAAAGAGAAAGAAGCAGCAGTTTGAGATATGCAGACTTTGAGAAAGGGAGGGAACAGGAAGCAGCTGAGATTGTGCAATACAAAGAAAGACAGCAATTTAAAAAACACTATAGAGGATACTAAAGCAAAAATACATTTTCCAAATGACAGTAAAAGATAAGTATGAATATGAAACACAAAAATCTCAACGAAATTAAG